CAGAGTTCCATATGATAAAAATTCAAAACTTCTGAGTTTGTCAACAAAACATTACAGGTTAAAATCTCTATTAAAAAATTCACAAACGAACAAGGAAAGAAAACAAAACAAATCAAAAACTACAACACCATAACCAACTTCCTAGAGTCTGCAACTCTTTAAAGAACATTACTAATGCAACTGTCATTTTTTGTTAAAGAAATATGACTTATTAAAAGAATGGCGTTTACCAAGATCTTTGAGTATCTTGGGCTGTGACAACTAGATTTAACCAGCTTTGATAAATAATAAAAGAGCCTGGCAAACATGCAGTTTTTCTAGTCCTCCACCTACATCGTTCTACAGTTCCTATCAATACATTATTTATATTTCAGGAGCATTCTCCATGAGGTAATCGCCTTCTACAACAGTAGGAAAGAAGTCTCTGTTGCAAAGATCCTTCATTTCAAGAGAGCAAAGAAGTAAAAAGTTATTTTAAAAATTCAGTTTCCTAGTCATAATAAAAATGCATGTTACAAGTAATAGGACAGAGAAGCTGCCATTTTAAGTGAAAATCTCTTTGAAACATTGAGTTAGAGAAAAACACTATCTATGGCAATACCTTTCACTATTGTCTTTGATAAAATAATAAAAGTTCAATAAAATGAAGCCTTAAAAACATAAATTATCTTGATGGCTTCTGTATCTTCCTTGCTTTTCCCATTTATTTGTTTTTCTTTATTCTTTTCACTGTATTGTTAATATGCCCTCAACTTAACACTGTCACTGGCATTCTGTCACTATGTCCTTACTAAAACACTGTCTCTTTAACACCACTTATGCTGCAGGACTGATCTCAGGAATTTTCAGGGGTGTTTGACTAGTTGCTTAGGGGCAGGGAGGAGGGGGGGATATATCACATATCTCCACTCACTGTCCTGGATTGATCATCCCCATCATTCAGCCCTACAGAGCAGGGTTTCCCCCTAACGTAACCCCACAAAACAGAGCAGGAGTTTCAGAAAGTTCTTGCGCTGCTGGAAACTAGATTTTCTTAATAGTTGCAATACAACAGGGCATGTTGTGTTATCTTGAAAGTCATCAGGGGCTTTAGAGGCTGATACGCCCAACTGACAGTACCTCCAGTGTGACAAAATGATTTTGTTTAAATTCAAGTTTCTCAAGCAAGACTTGGTAATTTTAAAAGACTAGGAAGACACACAACTCCAACCAAATCTGTTATTGCAACCATTCAGCAGTGAAGTAAGATGATAAAAACAAAATATTATGGAAATTTTTTCAGAGTCTTCTTATTCTATCTACTGTTGTTGATGCCATGCCATTGTCTATTTCTCTTTTTAGTGGAGAAAAGGCGATGACATCATGTAAAGATGTCAATCTACCTTTTTTGGAATAAAGACAAGGAAGAACGTCTTATCTTTCTGTTTAGTGCTCAATGCAATGTGCAGAGGAAGACAAGAACACAGCAACTGTATTACAGAAAAACTGTTAACTCGAGAACATAATTTTGGAAACTTAAGCTATGGTAAAGTAATACTCTCCAGAGAATTATATTCACTGTAAGTTACAGACATAAATATTATATTTTCAAATTGAGAGACAGAGTAATAATCTATCAGCTATTCTTGCATGAAACAAGATTTAATTTTTCTGTATCCTGGCTTCATCCCGAGTTTTTAAGCAATGCATGCTGATGTTGGCAAAGGCTCGTATTAGTTTAATTACTTACACCTAAGATAGTCACATGCATAAGTGTTTGCTGAACCAGTCCTCCAGCAGTTTCATTTGGTATCTTTTTTTCTCCCCTGTTTTGTTGATTGCAGTTGATACTTGCAATGAAGAACTAAAATATTTTTCGTCTGCACAGGCAAAATTGCTGACTCCATGTGCACTGTACCTTCATACTCTTTTAAGGAAATGCCCACATGTGGGGAAGCAGAACACCGAGGGCTTTCTAGGTAGCAGAGAAACTTTCCAATTTTTGCTCATTCAACATTTGATCTCCTATTAATGATTTTCAGTACCAGCCAGTTCCATATTTGTTCCTATGCAAAACAGACTGCAGCCAGGTAATTATTGCTTCTTGAAATAGGTGGGAGTTGTGTTTTTTCTGTTAACAAAGTTTAGGTGAAAGTTTAAGGCATCCATTTATCAAACACCCTGACCCTCCAAATCAACAGGAGAAAGAAAAACAAAAACAAACAAACACGCACCCCAAACACCAACAAAATAAGAAAAACAATGAAAATAAATAAACAAAGAAAAACATAACAGGCAATAAAAATATTCCCTTTTTCTCCATCTGAAATAGAAGGCAAGTAGACTGAAGAACATATATTGCACCTGATGGCAATTAGATATGCTGAAGACTGCAATACAACTTAATTAACATTACAGATATGAGATAATGGGTAAGAGGGACAAATCTAAGAGCTGAAATGTCAACTCTCTGGTAGTTCAATATTTGATTTGTTCATTTTCATTCTTAGCTAAGAGCTGACCCTCTTTCTAGCATGTCCCTCGCTGAGTAATTCTAGGAAAAGTACTTTGTGTTTTGTATTCAGATCAAGACTTTTTTTATTTTGCCTACTCTTTTTAACCAGTTTACCTTTAGTCACAACCAACAGAGAGGTGCAATAAGGAAGCAATATTCAGAGATAGAGATTGGAAGCATCACTCATGTGCACAATCCAGGAGTTATTCTCATATGCCAAGCTCCATTTACCCCATTTGAACCAACTGAGTTAAAACTTTAAGTCCTCTTTTTTGCTACTAACTCTCAAATGGAAGTATAACAGGTATTAAACCACTTCAGGACTCTCATTCTGTGGCACACAGCCGGGCTTGCTCTCTGCAGAAAGCCCCAGCCATGTCCCAGTTTCATTCCAGGTCACATAACAACCCATGCACCAACAGTTAAGTGAATAATATTGTATTTCCCTATTTTTACCAACCAGTGATTCCACACAACACAGCAGTAGCTGCATGCTTGTCTGCAGAAACTCAAATGATGCTGACTGCCTAGAGTCGCCCCCCAGTGAACAAGAAAATAAACTCAACTTCAAGAATAAATGTACTGATGGTTCATAAGAAACCTTGACAACGGATATAGCTAGCAACAGGGAGGGGGAGAAAAAACCAACTAATTCTCATGCTGCAGAGGAATACCCCAAAATATCAATTGTATGCAGAGATTTTTAATTAGAAGATCACCAAATCAGTGCTTAACTGAGTGTGTGCTCTACCACATGCAAACAGAAAGGACTGACACAAAGACTTTTCTGAGGAGATGATCTTAGAAGACACTTCTTCAAAAGGCAAAACAAAGTACAACTCAAAATAGCGGAGAAAACTAAGCTCACAACTTTATTAGCCTGAATTAATCTGATTAATTCTAATACAACCAATAAAGGTTCTTTATCTAGGGATATACATCTACTTAAGTCTGATTTAGTATAAGGTGATTGAAAACATGAAGACGACACTGGGTGACAGCACAAACCAAAGCAAAAGGAAGAATTGCACAGCGACATTTGCAGCTCTGTTTGTGATTTTAAGAACCAGAAATTAAAAAAAAAATAACTTGATCTCTAAAATCCTACTGAATTTCAACAGCACTGAGATATCTTACTCTCTTAAACACCACAGATTTTAACTTTCAAGTGCTTCTTCCTAACAATAAATAGGACTAGTCAGAAAGTCGCTCTACCACTGAATACCTATCCAAATGACACATCTTTGGAAGCATTGTCATTCCTCAAGAAAATAATGCATTCACTCTCTTTCTTCACTTTACCCAAGGTAAGACTCCAATAGAGGTGAGAAGCTGGGTGTAAGTAGTTACAAATCAACTGAAAAGCAAGAGATATGACAGACTTGTTTCCTATATTCCTGATTCATAAAGATGCCAGCAGTGGAGCTACAATAACTCACATAAGTCAGGATTTTCCAGTTTACTGTTGAGTATTCAGAAACTTGGCTCTTCTCCCTCCAGCCAGTTGAGGGGGTTTTTTATTGTTTTTTGGGGTTTGGTTGTTGGGTTTTTTTAACTTTTTTTTAATTGCATACATACTTTACATAGCAAAATGTAATCTTTCTTTATTTCTAACTCAAGTTTTTCTGGTGTTCCGTCTCTCTGGAGAAAAGCCTAACAATGTCAGGCTTTGGAGCCTGAAATAACAAAATAACAGTCAAAATTTAATAAAAAAAACATTTTTATGAAAGTCCCACTTGGGAGGATGGGGGGGATTTATGCACAAAGACTTTTTAACATCCATCTTGTATTTAATGTTAGAAGTTCGTTACCACCCTAGACTAGCAGCTTACCTGTACATCAGTAGTAATACAGAATGGGAGACAGGATTTCCAAGCTCATCATCGTTATCTTGCCAGACCACTATATCCTAGTTATCTTTGAAAAGGAAGGGCGAGTAAATAAGACACAACTAAGCCTGTGGCTTACATTAAACACTCCAAGTGAATCCATCTGTCAATATACATACTGGAAATCTAATCAATAGCAGGTTTTGCATGTTTGCACAGCTGTTATAGACAGATGCTCTTATCACTGTTATTTTATCCATACTTTTTAATAAAGTGGATGACTTAAATCGTTGCCTTCTTCCTCCTCTTCCAATCTGGTTCGCTGATTTTCACTTATTTGCATTTCTCTTCACCTTTAATTTCCTTTTTTATTAAACAGCTTTCTCCACTACTTCCACTAGCCTTTCCGACCTCTCCTTTTGCCATGTGATTTCTTCTTTTCCATCTTTGGGGTTTACTTATACTTCACTCTCTGCCAACTTGACTTTTTTCTCTTTCCCTTTCCCTGCTGTTCATAAGAATCAGATTCATAGAATACCTCAAGTTGGAAGGGACCCATAATGATCAAGTCCAACTCCCTGCTCCTTGCAGGACTACCTAATACCAAACCATATAATTTATAGTGTTGTCCAAACACTCTGTGAACTCCAACAGGCTTGGTGCTGTGACCATTTCCCTAAAATATGGAATACTTCATGAATTTGCATGCCATTCTTGCACAGGGACTGTGCTAATTATTTCTGCATTGTAGCATATGTGTTGCTGAAATGAACACAACTGGATGTCTGTTGGATGTCTTCTGTCCCTTTCCAATAGCCCCAAATTAGCAGACCAGTTCAGATGACAGCAGCATTCTCACGAGGGGAAGCGGAAAGGCAGGTACCGATCTCTTCACTCTCATGACCAGTGATGGGACTCGAAGGAATGGTCTAAAGCTGAGTCAGGGGAGGTTTAGGCTGGATATCAGGAAAAGGTTTGTCACCCAAAAGGTAGTTGAGCACTGAAACAGGCTCCCCAGGGAGGGACAAAATCACAGCCCCAAGTCTGTTTAAGGACAGTGCTCTCAGGCACACAGTGTGATTCTTCGGGTGTCCTGCACAGGGTTAGGAGTTGGACTCAATGACACTGATGGGTCCCTTCCAACTCAGCATATTCTAGGATTCTATGACTGTAGGCTCACAGTTAATGCTCTGAACACCAAGTCATTCACAGGTGAAACACAGTAGCATAAAATTTCTTCTTGTGGAAAATTACATTTCCTCTAATTAAGGAAGAGCCTAAGGACTGCTGTACCATGACCGCTGTACCACTGTACACTATCTCAATGCCGAACACACCAACTTCCTATTAGCAATCCTTCTTCCTATAAATGACATACAAGTATCTCATCTTGAGAATTAACCCACCCTAGCCCAGGCCCCAGCAGGGTTATAGTGCAGCAGCTCCCCCAAAGGCTTCAGAGGCGGTGGATTAATGGATGGTTACTGTCCACTTCAAAGTACAGAAGGCTGGTCTCACCTTCAATAGGGTATTTATTACATTATTCTTGGACCCAAAAATGTGGGACAGAAAGATGATGTGGAACATTACCAGCTTTTTTGAGAGCCCATTTCATTGGTTAACTGTACTCACAGCTGTGAAGCTCTTTTCAATATTCAGCTTAATTATATCTCTTCTGACGCTTAAAGACCATTTCTTCTTATAATGCTTATCATGGTCAGCTATCTAAATGTGTTTATTTTGCAGAACATGAATAAGTGATGCATCTAATCACAATGCAAGTGTTATGCAGCTTTACAACATTTTTGTTGTCTGGCATAATGAGCAAGCTCAGAATAGGCCCTTGTCTGTTGGCACTGTCGCTCTGTCAGAGAATTTCCATTCATTTAGTAGCTCCAGGCTGGCAGCTAAAGCAATCATTAGTGGCCAAAAAGCATCCATCCACCGAAGCCACAGACCTTCATTCAGGCATAGACAGTTCAAAGTACATTCAAGCTCTCCTGCTAAAAAATTCTGGGTTTCAAGACAAAGATCTGTAGAGAAACTGAATACCTGAAAAGTAAAATCAGAAGAAATTGGAACTCCTGCAGTTGGCCTGTCATTAGCAACAGGCCGATAAGAAATGGGCTGATGGCAGACCAGCACACAGTGACCTCTCCCCACAGCATGCAAAACCATCCCTGCAACTAAGAAAATAATTTTGCACTCATATTTGCAACTGCCAAAACCAAGCATGAACTCCTTTTCTTTTCTGATGCTAAAATGCTATTAATTAAAATTAGTAAAAATATCTTCTCTCCAGAGAGGAAAGGAAGAGCACTTTCTCAAGTGGAGTATTTTCTGAAATACTCCATGGTTCATACTACCCCAACACTGGGCAACCAGGTTTGCTCCCTTCTGAGCACAGAATCTTGAGAAATATTTCCCCCACACCTTCCTGAGAAGACAGCCTGCTCCCTGGCTGTTTGAGCTGAGAGAAGCTTTCTCCTGTTAGGATGAAACCCCGCAATGGCCAACCTCTAATTTTCTACTTATCATTCAATAACATAAGAAAAGTGTATACATGGTCTCTGCAAGAGGCTGAAGGAAAATCAGCTTCTTTTCTTGCCTCCTGGTGAGTCACAGCACTGCTAGAGATGTAAAACAATAAGTATTTCTTTTATTTAATCTACATTTTCTCCACATTTTCCTCAAGGCTATGGATCCTTTGGAAGTCCCTGAGCAATATCAGTTCTTCTCCTGCCCTCACTGCTACAGTGTTGTACAGTAACAGAGAATTTGCCTAGTCTTCATTAAAATAGAAACTGCCAACTGACAGAAAATCAACAGCCTTTGGTACCTACAGTGAACTCAGGCAAAACAAAATGGGAGCTTAAAGTGCTACTGAAATGTATGGAGTGCGGGGGGAATATATCAAAAAGTAGGGAATAGGAGATAAATACAAACATTTACGTTACTATGAAGGCTGTGTAATTAAAAATGCAGTTAAGCAGGAAGTCCATTAAGAAGAGAATAATTCAGAAGAACACACATTTGAGTACAAAATACAATTAATTCAAACAGGAAATAAGAATTAAAAGTAATTATTTTGTTTTGCAAAGGTAGAATAAATGCAGCTGAACACACTGTTCAGTGCCTTGTGCCTTGGGTTTTTTTGTTGTTTTTGTTTGTTGGTTGGTTTGTTTTTGTTTTGGTTTGTTTTTGGTTTTGTGGGGTTTTTTTTAATTTTCACTAGTAGATCTTCACACCTCCCATGTCCTCTCAAATCAATCAAAAATAGTAATTAAAAAAGTTCCACTTCAGCATCCCAATATGCCTGTGGGTAACACCACATATAACGTCATGGAAATAGTTAGCAGGAAAAAAAGCCTGCTATCAAATAATTGATCACTGCTCAAAGCACGTACACTCAGGACCTGGGTCCTGCTTCCTACGGGACAGAGACTTTCAGTAAAAGCCATTCTGCCATAAACATAATCCACCGATTGATTTTAAAGACTAGTTAAAAGCTATTGCCTGTGACAGACCAGGTAAGACAAATGATCTGCATTCAGGGACTAAGAAAACTGCATTTCTACTTGAAATCTTTTGACCTCGGTCGCACAAGTGTTCCCAGTAGAGCTCCAGCAATGAATACTGAAGCACTATTTCTCCTCCCTCTGTCAAAGTCTGCATCTGAGCTCCTGCACATGCCTCCCTCTCTCACACTTAGTAAGGGAAAAAGACCTGCCCAGACCTCAGTAACAACCTCCAAAATGTCTACTAAGAGGGCACAAGAAAAAAGACATAACAGAAGTAGATTTGGTAGTCTTTGAGAAGCAGACGAGGTAGTAGTGAATAGTAGTGCTATTTTAAATAGTGTGCAGAAGTCAGAAGATGACAAAGAGAAAAATATGCTAAAAAAAAAATCTTAAAATGTCAAGTGTCTTGCTGCAAACTGGATTATATAGGGCATGGGGCAAAACAGCAGCACCAGCATAGGGGCTTAAAATGTAGCAGCAGCAGCTGCTCATGAACAGGAGCAGTGATGATGTTCACCAACTCCATATACACCTCAGAATTACCTCTTCAGATCCAGCAACACTTCCTGCATAAGTCTCATCCCAACACAGTCCCAGTTCCAGGGACTCTGCATTTCATTTTCACTGCAGCATAGTACACCAGAACATGCCATAGTGTTTGTTTTGTTTTTAAATCTGGTCAAAAGATACTATACATGCAGAGCATCTTCTAAAGAGAGCTGCTTCAGCATCAACAGTACAGTAATAAACAGCTGGATCTACAAGATTTATAAACCTTGGAAATAATTTTATTACATATTACTTTACACTAGATGCCCATTGTAAGCCAATTTTCTTCCAGTAATGCTTTTGAAGACAGTTTACTTGTCTTTCAGAAGTCCTATTAATCTTTTAAAAGAGAAAAATAAGCTGAATCTGTCCATATATAGTAAAAAATATTTCTGCAGTTCACTATATTTTTAATTCACTTTGAGGTCTGCACCACTGTGAATTCACTTTCATGATCATTTACACAATTAGGTTTACAGCAGAACACATAGGCTAAGCTTCCACAGAAACTGAATTTAAAAATTAATTACCAATATACATTTTCCACCAAAACCTAAATATATAAAATGGTTCACAGTTGGATCAAGGAAATTAACAGATAATATACTTATCTAGTCCAGAACAGAGCAAAGGAGTTAGCATCCTGGGTAGCAAAGTTGAAGCACTAAAGCCCAAAAATCAGAGTAACTCCAATGAACAGAACATTTGAAGAGTGCTGGTGCTCTGCCAGTCACATCATGAACAGAGGAAGGTAAAATTCATTAAATAAATTATTCATTAGTATTTAACAATTCGGCACTGGATACAATATTTATTCTTTTGGCTAAAGAACAGTGCTACGAATCCATCCACTTGTAACTTCACTGCTGAAAAAGTTAATGCCATTTATTGACAGGTTAATTTATAATACCACCTTAATTAAAAAAAAAATTATCTTATCACTTTCTGCCTGAAATAAAACTGCACCTGATTGGGAATACTGTACCCACAGGCTAATGAATGATTTCAAGCAATTCAGTGTCCAATTAACACCAGCATCTGGTTTGGGGATTTTTTTATCTCTATCAAAGCATTTGCCCTACATTAATTACACTTTCAGTTAGTTGCAACAGCAAGTTTAAATCTTTATGTTATTCTTCAAGCAAAAATAAAAACAATAAAATGGTCAGGACCTGGAATTCACATAACCAGAAGCAAAATTCCAATCACTTGCAGGCATGCAAAACAAGGCATGAAACTTCTCCCAGCTTGATTTCAACAGTTAACATCAACAGAACACTAACTGAAGAAATGGATAAGAGTCCCCTATGTCCAAGACACTGGAAGAGTGACCCATCTGCTTCCATCCAAAGAATCCTGTCTGAAGCCAGCTTCACGATGAACCAAACTTTGCTTGGACAAGAAGGTGGCTTCTTGAGCTTTTAAACTGATCTTTGCCACTAAAAAAAGCAATTGAATAATTCACTGATTTTCAAGATTTAGTGCAGCTGGAAGATCTGCAACGGGGGAACTTGACGTGTGTGGAGGAAGTATCCTTTGACTCATTATGATCTCAGAGCACGTGAGATTGATTGGACCGGCATCCACCTCCTGCCCCCTTAACACTGGATTTAGATAACTCAAGCATGATTTCTGAAATACAATACATTTTTTCCCATAGAATGTTCATCACTAACTCTACTAACTCTCCAGCACCATAACTGTA